GGACAGTTTCAAAGTTAGTAGCAGACGGAAAGCAGATATTGTATGATTTTAACATGAGAAAAATCACATACACATGAGGGCAAACAAGACGCAATATAAAGCTCCAATGATCGGTAGAGGTATTGAAGCAAGAATAGCTCCAAATTTTCCTGTTTGTGGTCAAAGAGAGTGCAACCATTAGTTATTTATGATAAATCTACGATAGTCAAAAGATTGCAATCACTTAAAAGCAGAAAGAGAATTATACATTTCGAAACAATGAACGTATAAGAAGTACCAAGATCAGCTATATAATAATATGAATTTGATCTTTGCAGAGAATACCTCACCTAACACAGAAATAAAAGGCATAAATGCTGCAGAGATTTGAATTACTCTTTTGCTTCCAACTCGTGTCAATGCCAAAAGACCTACATTTTCACTTCATAGTCCACAAAAGAAAAACATTATTAGTAATGCATGGTCAGGTACTAAAAGCTTAGCTGCAAATGCATTTTTTGGGAGATGATTGACATGTTGATATCCATAGACTACTATATTATTGGAAAATAACGTTAACTATTAGATATAATACTCCTCACATCTTAGCCTTGCTTGTGCTCTTGATTTTCAAAATAGTATGAGATATAGAACAAATTGAATAGCCAGTTTAAGCTTTTCCTAGGAAGATAGATATATTACACTGATACAGTAGCTCCACTGTCGGTTCCCCATAAACCATGGAGCAACATACTTAATCCCTAGACACCAACCAAAAGAAAAATTGAATTTCAACAGAGAATTATATATAGAGAGAAAGAATCTGTCGTTGGTGAGAATATCATCGTCGAAAGTTCACCTACCATCCAGCCAGCACTACGACTCAGAAATGAAGCTGGGCAATATGTTGCACTTCCATATCTTGTAGCAGCAATAAATCCTCCAGTAGACTGTCAAAAGAGATACAAAAACAGTTCTTCAGAAGGAAAATGACAATATACATGACGATGTTCAGCCTTAAAAGTTTACAATATCCAAAACCTTAATAAATTCAACTAGAATCATGCATCTCACAACATAGTCATAAATCAGTAGTTAAAACTGGATAAGATGTTGAGTTTTCAAAAGTTTTACTAGTGAGAGGAAAAAATAGAATCAAGTCAGCAACTACATCAAATATTAGCCTAAACATTTTCAATTGGATATACACCTCAATGAGAGAAACAAAAGCTGCAGCCAACATCAGAAAGACTTCTCCAGCATCAACATTCGGAGTACCCCATTGCAATGTGTAAGGAAATCTTATCCTGCATTTCCAGAAAACAAGAGTTCTTGAGAGCAGAAGGAAAAGAACAAAACCTATGTAAACATTGGAAATTAGATCAGATATTCTTTAACTGCAAAACATTGTCACTTTATGATAGAGAAGCCATGTAAAAACTTTGAGACAGACGTTCACCAATAAACAGATTGCCAGAATTGGTTGATATCGACATCAGTATTACAGTCAAGCCTACTATTTCCTCTCATAATTATTACAGTATCAATTAGCAGATGCAAAATAACAATGAGGTTAATTAGATGAAGTTATGCTTTGGCATGATTATTGCCACAAGGGGACTGTTTGTTAGGTACAGCGGCCATTCTGCCTTTTTTTTAAGTTAAAAACAAAATCTGTTCAGAACATGTAGTAATCATTTAGAAGCGTGGACTTGCTAACGCCAATCTCAACTGAAGCAGATAATTCCTAAGGAAATATAATCACTATGAGGTGTAATTTGTACCGAAAATGTAACTGTTAATAACAAGCATAAGAGATTTTGATCATAAAATATCCATGAGCTCCATTTCTTAGCATGCTTAATGAATAAATAGAGAAGTGACTATGTATAGGAGAAAATATTAGTGTGAACACACCATGAAGCTCCACTAACGAGCCCTGAGCGATCAACTCGGCAACTGAACTGAGTCTGCAGGGGTCTGTTCTGGTATGCACCTGCTACTGTGAGAAGGGCTGCAAATGCCCACACTATTCCAACTGATAACAGTACAGCGAATTGCTCAAATAAGGGTTGCTTCAGTTTCCACATATGAGGAATAAACTGCACAAACATTTGTTAAACACATATTAAAAGAACAAAATGGAAAAACCAACATCAGCACAAATTGATATCCATCATTCTTCTGCTGCTTAACCCTTATACAGTGGATCTAAGCAGATCGAGAATCAAAAGATACCCTCCTAGAACTTTTTATTTGATTTCCTTTGTTCATTTAACGTTTGATTCTCCTATCTCGTTATGCAACATTCCTAATAAAAGATAGCAGTAAAACAAAAATGAATACAATAAAGAAAACAAGGCTTCCTATCATGTTATTGCCATCCAAAGGGTGAAAGGCATTTATATCAGGTCTCAGTGATTACTAACATTAATATTTTTCTCGATTTGACTTGAATTATCGGGTTGGTGCGGTTTGTCGGTTTCCTTTGTACACCCCTACATTCAAGAACGAGATATACAGCATTCGAGCTAACAAAATTAAAGCAGATCATTGACTTTTGATGAAGACGTGGAGCTAATTAAGAAAGCATATCAAATAAGGATCTTGAAATTGACAAACTATATACAATTCAAAGAGTTGTGGCAATAGAAAAAATTAAAAATAAGTAGGTCAAACAAAACGGAAAATAAATTTCATATGGACAGAGAATACACATCAAACATTCTTTCAATAAATTTTAAGAAGAATTTAATTTTGTGGAACTTTTACATTACTTTATCCTACTAAAGAAGATGAAGAGGAAGAAGAACAAGTCAAATAAAACGAAGCAATAAAGAGTGATTTCCAACTTAGAGAAAAAAACAAAATAGAGCAACACAGAAGAGGAGGGAATACCTGGGATTCGCAATCGAGGGAGGTCGAAAACTAGGTAGACCAGCAATACACAAGCCAACAAACTCGCAACAATCGATTTTGAGAAAAGAAAATTCTTGAGCGGTTATCAATAGAGAGGCAGACGAGGAGATCTGGGTGTGTTTAGTAAACTAGGGCATAACCTATTGCTTTTGAGAAACAGAGAGTTTCTTTTAGTTTTTTTGGAATTTTTAATTTTAGGATATTAGTTTTGGCGCCTTTTTTTAGAAAATAGTAATAATTTTTAATATTTTAATATTATATTGGCGGTACTCTTTCCCGCTCATCACCTCGATTGGCGCCTACTAATACCATTTGGGACCGGTTACTATTTTTTTTAGGGACCAGATTTAATACCTTCACAATAGAATACAAAATTAAGGACCACAATATAATCTCGTCCTAATACATACACTATTAGAGACGGGATTATTAACTCGTCCCTAAATATTGGTCGCAAATAACACTTTTTCTTGTAGTGCTGGTCCTAGCCTCGTCACTACTTCGCCGAGGTTAGGCTAGGCACTTACCAGCACATGGGGTCGGTTGTGCTGATACTACACTCTGCACTCTTTTGTGCAGACCATAGTGTTGTAAACTTCGGACGTAGGTTGGAGGCTATTTTCAGTTCATGCGAAGATCCAAGGTAGACCTGCAGGCGTCCGCAGGCCCTGGCATCTCCTCCATCGTTATTTCCTGTTTCGTTTTCCTTTTATTCAGAAACAGTGTACTGTTATTTCTTCAGACCTTGTATGTAGCAATCTTAGACCATCTGTGACACTGTGACACCAGGTCTTGGGTGGTTAAGGCTTAAGTATTTGTAATAGATACAGTTTTTCATATATGTTATTGTTGTCTTCCGCTTAAATTTGAATTTTCGCTGTTATCACGTTATCACCTTATAATTGTTAAAAAGAAATAATTGGTTGATGACGTATTTAGATTAAAGGTTTGGCTTGCCTAGCTCACATTAGTAGGCGCCATCACGACTCCCGAGGGTGGGAAATCCGGGTAGTGACAAAGCGGGACTTTGTTCACATATACCCAATAATCTCCCTCTTGAGCGAAGTTCCACATGATCCATCACCGTTTATGGGCTAATTTGGAGATTAATTGTGTGCCACCTATATGATTCGAGTATTTACGGTCATCGAAACCCAAGAAGAGGTTATAATCATGTTAAGAGTATCTTTGGACTGTTTTATCCCAACAATCTATTGGGGATGGCATGTCATAGTTGACGTAATGTGAAGAATAGAAACAACAAATTATGGCTGAAGATCTTATAGTAAAAAAAATTTTGAAAAGACACGGTTGAATGTGGAGTTGAAACTAACATATACATTAATTTCAATAATCTTTCTCTATTTTGCATGTGAACATTGTCTCCTCTGCATTATTAAGATTAAGGTTGTGGTCCCCTTTTTTAATCTGAAATTTTACTTGTCAAATGAATTATATGCACCATTGTGTGTGTGTCTGTCTCACATTTGTCAGATTTTACGTACGTATGTATGTAGAGAGAGAGATGTGTGAGTTTTTAATTAGTTTGCAAGTATAGAAGATTAATGACCTAAACCCCAGTTGTGTATAACAATGAGAACATCGATCCCTACTACTTGCTATTTAACAAAGTATATACGTAAAGTAGCAACTTGTATTGCATACTTATTTTAGACAATCTTTATCCATAAGCCAGTATATATGTTGGCACTTTGTCGATAGATAGAGTTTAATTAGATAGTTTCAGGTGAAGAGTGCCAACATCAGCATACTTGTTATATAGTAGTACTACTAATTATTAAGTGTCATCATTCCACCTATGTTTTAAATATTTAAACCACTTCTCAAAATTAATTAGATCGGCCATTAATCATTTAACCATCTCATATCTGTAAGTCCACCCAACTAATTCGGACACGCGCCGGACAAAGAGCAGTCCACTGCACAAAGTATATTCTGTATTCACACAGGATCCGAGGAAGGACGAAATCCCAAAAGGTATGATGCACACAGTCGACCTAATAATGCAAGCATTAGTGACTACTTCTACAGCTCGAATACGGATTGGATAAGCTAAGATAATCAAAACAATATAGATGGTCATGGTCTTCACTTTGTTTTTTCTTTGGAACTAGGACTAAATAAATGAATAGCATATAATCCCCTCTAAAAACATATTTTTGCCTCCAATTATTTCCATTCCTAATGGTTTTTGCCTTGGGGATACATAATTCCTCGTTGTAGTTTATTTCAAGGGAAGTACAGAATTTCATAATTGGAAGTTAAATAGAGGAATTAGCTAGGGAAGCAAATATATAGAAGATGAAGTCAGTAACTAACATTCTTATGGTCCTTAATTTATTTTCTCTGTCAACCTGGAGTATGCGAAACAAACTCTTTTCTTTTAGCCTAATAATTAGAGAAAAGATACCATTTCTTTGAAAGGAAGCAATAGACGTGATAATCCTAGACATGAAGATTCAAGAGTACTTGGTCATTCACAAATTCTGTTTTAAGAAAGTTGATCCGATGTCTAAAGAGGTTTATATACTTTTACCATACTCTTATGTTATGGGCACTTAGATAAGATATTTTGATAAAAATTAACTAATTAGAAGAGTTTAATATTAGAAAGAGGTGTAACAGACCATGTAGCAATTTTTTTCAGATTATCAAGTCACATTTATGGTAAGCAGCTTCATTTATATAGTTAATTTTTAAGTGACATGATAGTTATAATTTAACTCATTACATTGTGATCATATATAAGAATTGAACCCCTTTCATACTTTGATGAAGCTAAGATTCATAGCAGGGACTCGAATTCTGCATTTTACAGTCACACCTGCTGTGAAAGGATACATCTGCCGTTGGAGAGATGCATAGTGTTATGGTCATTGCAAGGTATGAAATTTGAGTTTCCACATCGATATTGCAATGTACTGATCTGGGGTCAATATAGCTTTGGGTTCTCCCGTCTCAATAGCAACTTTTGGGGTGGGGTTTTTCGTGCGTTGTATGACTGTATCGGTGGCCACCCACCACCTTCTATGCCCACCATGCCATGGATGATGACGTCGGTATTGCAGCGTTTGCCCAGGGCCAAAAAGGTCTAGCGCACTACTGTCGAGGACGAGGGACGCGGAGCGTGAGGGTTTGCTAATGTGGGATTTATATAGCCTTGGGCTCTACCTCAATAGCTAGCTTTGGAGTGAAGTTCTCCCTAAGATTGTTATAAATATGTAGGAATAGATTTTTAGATGGACATAGAGGCGGATTCTTGTATAGCATTTGCATCACAGGTTTATTTGAATTTGATACAGAATATAAATTTATGTTTAAAAATTTACTAAAAACATAAGAAATTAAATTTGAATCCATAATTTTAAAAATTGAATATATTCATCGCTAAAAATCTTAAAAGTTAGACCCATAAAACTTAAGTACGGACTGCTGGATGGACAGATAGATGGATACATATATAGTTGGAAGGATGGATAGAGTATTTTTCCCACACCATTACAGCATTGCACTATTTATAACCCCTGCAACTCTTATCCAACGTAACATAATTTCACTGAAAAATCCCCCCGCGCCCCTCTACAAGTGGGCTCTGTAAAACTTCAGAACTATTATATTCCTATTTCTATAAATTAAGAATACCCTTTCCTATATACGGAAAGGCCATTCCTATATAGCTCTACACCTACAATCCTTAGATATGTATCGATATTATCATAGTAATCTTTGTTCACATGAAAAATCCCATACATTATTAATGGCGTTCGTTTTCAGAATACTGCTGATTTTATTTTATTTTTTGATTTTTTTTTTCAAAATTTTCAGCCAAACACCTCAAGTTTCTCAAGTTTTGCAAAAGCTGAAAGCGCCTCTTGAGCAAAACACTTTAAAAAAAAAAAAAAAATCTAAGGGCATTTGAAAGAAAAAAAAAAAACTATTTTTGCGAAAGGTACACTGTTCCATCACATAAATTGATCGGGCTGAAAAACTACACGCAGTCACTCTTGACATTCTAAATCAGTGGGGGAGCTAGTGTGCGGAAGGGAGTTCAGCCGAATCCCTTCTCCGAAAATTACAGTGTATAAGATTTTTTTTTCATATATATATGTATTATATGTTGAATTCCTTTAACTTCTTCGCATATTTATTTTTTGAATTCGTTAGTGAAAACCAC